GAACAAACACACTCGCTTTTTCCAACAATCAAAGTCGGAAAAACATACTCCTGTTTATTGTAATCCAAACTTACAAAATACATACTCTTGTTTAAAACAAATTAAGGTTAATGAAACATACTCGCCTTTATCATAGCCACAAGCAGTCAAAAAACTTACTCTACTTTTAATATTTTCAAGTCGAAAGAAACTTACTCTTCTCTATCGTAACAAAGTCAATGAAACATACACTCAACAACATGAATCGTAAATGGAAGATATTCAGCAAATGATGCTCTAGCGGCATCTATACGGTAGAGTTTGGAAATTTGATTAAATGATTTCGTCACAAGGTTTACCCAAATATTGGAAATGGTATTTGTCAAAAATGGCATTTCAAACGTCATTCATGATTCATGTTAGTGAACTTCCGATAGGGACAAACAGAACTCTGAAAGGTTTTGGATCGGTTGAATATAATAACATTGTGCTTCGCAGCGTTGCATACACTACTCTCAATCTCACCCATAGAAATGTCACAATCCTAGAAATGTTCCAGAAATTCCCACAATTAAGTTCGGCTATTTACAAAAATAAATTTCCTTTCAAAATCAATAGGCCTATGTCACCTGCGGGCTCAAGACCTTTCCAATGGTACCCGGCACTTTCGGATCGGTTGAGCGGTTTAGGAGATTACCCCGAACATACATACATACAAACATTCAGCTTTATATATATAGATACAAAATGAGATCTCTGTGGAAACTTCATTGTTTTTTGTTCATTAGGAATGCGTGTGGAAGGGTGGAAGGGTGTTTTTCGATTTTACCCCCATGTAGGATTTGAAAAATGAAGACCCATCTACCTTTTTTCATTATTTTAGACTAGAATCGATTTTCAAAAGTGATTCTGCTGTAAATATTTTTTTAGTGTCGAAATACCCGGGTGAATTAGTTGATTTTTTTTCGCATTATGGGTTTTATCCATAGTGGTTTTGAAAATGGAGAATTCCATTGGTGCATTTCAAATAGCAAAGTTTGTTGTAAATCAAACTAAATTTAACCATAACAACTCAAGAACAAAGAGCGTAGAGAATCTTTGCGATTTTATTTTTCGTCAGTTCGACTCGCTGAATATCATCGCGTGGATTCTACCGCAGTGCTAGTGTTCCAATTTACTGAATAAGACACAACAGCTCAATGCAATGCTCACAGTATGGATGAATTCGAGTTCTTGGCAGCTCATCTGTTTTCATTTTTAAAACTAAAGTGATCAGCATGCATTTAAAATCGATTTAACATGCATATTATAACAATGCAAGTTCGTATATATCCGTGTCCGATTCTATTTGAGGCTGTAGGAGAAAATAGGTCATACATAAACAAATTACTCGCAAAGCATTGGAAGCGTTGGAAACGGCGAAAAGTGGAAAATGGAATATACACGTTAAGCGGTTTTCTTTGTATTGTACCACGTGTTATATAAGGAAATCGATATGATCAATAAGCTCACTTTACAGAGTATTCAAGTATTGCAATTACGAAAAGAAAACATTTTTCAACTGTCAACCAATTGCACTACGGATTTCTACATATCCAACTATTAAGCCAATAGCATTCCGATGACGTCATTACTTCAGGCCTAATTTACGGTTCGTTGAATGAAAAATCAATGTGCTTATACGGTGTTTAGTTGTCCGGTCACTACTTCATTGTTCAAAAAGTGACTCAAAAAAAATATATACATCACAATTATTTTACATGGTGCACACTGCACACACGACAATACGAAGCGAAAAACGATTTTGCGATGAATTCGCCTTATGACATAATTTCTTTAGTCGTGTGTCTCATTTGCTCCAGTATGTCATGTTAAAAAATACAGCTTTCAAACGCTCTTTTAGCCACTTGGGATTTTTTCATATGATCCATACGGCTTTCCTTTTAAGTTGTTAAATGAAATGCATCCAAATAGTTTTTTTCTCTAAATTTTGTTCGATTTCAAAAGTGTATTTTTTTGCCGCATAGTCGTCTGATATTTCTCGAACAATTTTTCCTGTTTTTGAATTCACACCGGATAGAATCGATTTTCAAATGTAAAGACATTTATTAGGTTTTCACTTTTTTGGAAAATCTAAGAATTTTCCAATGAATTTTAAATTAGCCTTGTTGGTAGATGCTACTTCAGAACGTATGACATAATTAGAAGTAGTAAAACTATGACCATAAGCTCAACATATGTGTTGGAAACACCTGAAATAGCGATTTTGGTGGATACCTTACTGTTCCTAATGTAATCTTATTATAGTTATTGATATAGGCGACATTTGATGTTGCCTACATGTGAACAGAAAACTATGTCTTCTAATTAAGTTTTCCACATTTTTTTCGCGATAAACTAACGCTACCTACTTAGTAGCGTGAGAAGAACAGATTTAACCGCTACTAATAAATCAGTACAAATTTTATCAAGAAATCATTCATCGATATTCATAACATTCTTCTAAATAACGTTGTAAAATGTTTTATTGTCATAATTTTTCTAGGCCATATTGTGTTTCGTTCGGTAAACAGGAAGTTGAACAAAAAACTATATAACAATGCGACAACTCTATACAAATAAAATTCATATAATATCTACATATCGTGGCCATAAACCATATGTTCAATAAAAAAATAGCCTCAGCTTTAATGTTTGTGGAGAAAAACAAACATATAATTATCGATTTTGTGTCACTTAATAAAACGTAATTGTTAAACAGAAAAAGAAAGTCTCCTAAACAATTTTACAACTGTTCTAACTGACATTTAATTAAAAATACGGATTCATTAACTAAGGAAAAGAAAGAAATGTCTCAACACTCGTGTATATTCAATGAATTCAGTTTACAAAAAAAAGGAAAATGCAATGCACTTACAATGGATCGGAAAAGAGTATTTACTAATTGGCTATTGAAAATCCGAAACTGTACGAAAGCACGTTATATAACAATTTAAAGAAAAACAGTCACTGTGGTATCTGAAGTGTTTCGTTCTTAAATCGCCGAGAGTAGAATATTCAGGTATTTCGTTTTTTTTCTATTCCTTCTTTCCCTTTATATAACTATCGAATTCCGATTAAATTCAACAATTCGGTTCAGGTAAATTTCGTTGTTCAGGCGGATCTTTTAGCATTAATTTATTTTATAAAAATAAAACGTTACGATATGCGTACAGCGAAAAATTACGAAATGTAAATTTAAAAAAATAAATAATATCTTTTAACTTTTGGTCGATCTAAGAGCGAACTTACACACCAAAGAAGAAAAACTGAACTAATTTGAAGTAAAAATAGCTGGAGTGGTAGTTTGAAAATATTACCATGTAGATGGAAAATATAAATGAAGGACAACGTCTGTGTTAGGTTGTGTGAAAATAAAATTCAATTCTGGAAGAGCAAATGAAGTGCGAGTGTGTGCCGATATCACCACAAGTACAAATAGCCAACACAGCTACAATAGTATACGGTGATAGTAACCGTAACTATAGTCACATTCATGGCTATAGTTAAATATATCTATCCATGGGTGAGATTGTGAGTAGAGTTTGTTTTCGTGGAGTTTTTTTAAGGTGAGAATGAGCATGCTTTGACGGTTCTGTTAGCGTTCAAGTAGAGTAGGTTTACATGTTTCGGGTTGTATCAATTTTTCGTGGAATTGATAAGACACCGGGATAGTCCAATACTAACAACTGCACCATTTGCAAAATGAAATTCGTTCAAACTTCGAGAGTACAGTCGCAGACACCTTCACCTCGCGCTCATTCCGCGGCGAACTTGCTCAATATTATCAAATATTGAGCAGTGTCAAACATGGCCGTCAACATGTGTGGCGCTGTTGTATCTCCGGGTGATAAGAGTTGTAAAACTGTTACCTCTTACCTCTTATCTTAGTTGTGTACAAACAAAATTAATATAGGAAGTATATTTTTGCTCATTTTCGATTAGAGATAAAAGAGAAGACACAAAACAGTTATCTCTTATCAGCAAACAACTGAAAAATCTAAGCAACACTCCTCAAACATGAACATAGTAAAGAAACTCACACACCTTTTTCATAATAAAGTCCATGAAACATACGCTACTCTCAATCTCACCCATGGATATATTGTGCATGGTATGCGCTGCGTGGATAAAAATGACTTTTATGCATTTTGGAAGCACACATTTTCAAACAAACTACGCTTTTGTGTGGATTTTTAAAGTTTTGTTGTGCATGTGTTGCCAACGAACAATTCCAACATATGCGCTACACATATAGGCTATTGTGTAATAGTGTTCTCTTGCTCATACTGGAAAAGCGCAGACCTTTTGTTATGGTTTTTACTTCAGTTCGCCTTATTTTCACTTACTTACTTTTGACGTTGAATCCCTTTCAGCTTGGCTCATGCAATATTTCACCAAGTTTATCTAATTCGATCGCTTTTGTTGACGAAATAGGTACCAATTAACTTGAATTGGGTCAGTGAGAAATCAACTTGAACGTATCGCAAGTATTTCAGTGCAGATTCATTAATTGATTATTTAACCTTGAATCACGTGCCTTCTATGCTGTCGCGCGATTGTTGCAATGCAGTATTCGATAATACGAAGCATGTGTCTCGAAGCGTGTATGCTTTGGTCGTCATTATTGAATTCTCCTCAACATTAATTATTTTGAGCATAAATTCATTCAAAAGATGGCATCTTACAACTATATAGAAACACTGAAATAGCACTATTTATGAAAAATTATTTGAGGACAAAAAAACGGAAAATTAATCGAAATGATTTAAAATTGTTAATCGTTAACTGGATTTTATATCCAGACTTTATGCCTGTTGGAAATGGAAAATTGTCTGAAATTCCCTTTTTGAAGAAATAAGTATCGATAAAACTGTTGCAATTATTTCTAATATCGTTTCATATTTAATTTATGATTTTATCAATTCTCAGTCTCAGTTCATCGCGATGAATGAAAATTCAAGAGAAACAGTGAAACAATGTGGTATTCTGTACTTAATTGCTTTTAATTGATGTAATAACTATTTGTATATAAGTGGATGTGAATGTGTCTGAATTTACAGAACTTTTTCTTGTCGACTTTTAAGTGTAAATCTATACATAAATGAGAATATAACTAGATTTAAGTACATAATTTTGAATTTTTTTTTTGTTTAAATCTTAATTGGCTAAATTTTACGCTTTGTTCCTTTCTCTGGCGAGAATTCCATTTAAGGCGCAAATGTGTCCACGTTACAAGGTCGCACACTATTCACCCTAATAAAATAAAATTAGTTCATTAATATATCATCTGCCCATCCTAGCGATTGATTTAACAGCACACCTCAGTGCCGCCATTAAACTTAATTAGTTTATGCTAAAAATTATTTATTTCTTAGTGTTTTTTTCCTTCATATTATCAGTTCAAATAACATTTCGATTTGTTTGCATATGTAATGAAATTACCTGAAAAACACGCGGCGAGTAAATGAACTTTAATTTAAATTGGGTTAAACTATGAGGGTTAAAGGGAGACATATTCTGACAATATATGAATCTAAATCTTGAAGGTACATTTTTTTGTTTGTGTGAAATATCAAACGTCTTTTCAAAGTGTTACACCGTCTATTTCATTTCAATTAGATGAAAATGATTCGGTTATAGTAATAATATGATGATTATTTGTTGATGAATAGAGGGATAACCAGTAAATGTGAATTATCATTTACAACCAAATTTTCGTAAACACCTATGCTTATCCACCGATATGCCTTGAATTTTCAAGAATTTTTCCACATTTTGTATTTCATTCACCTTCTAAATTTATTGTATCGATAAGCTCTACACACGCACTCACCATTCTGTTGTAACTATTATCTGCACCGGTGGTTGTACAGGCACTAACTATCATACACTCCTAATCACCATCAAAAGAGTGTTTCAAAATGAAGCACTAAATGCATTGGAATGAAACCACAATTCAAATGTTCTTCAATGTGAATAAAACTCAAAGTAAATTCCATTGGAATGAAATGTAAGGTGTTTCACTTTGAAAAATGCTTCATGTTTCACATTATTTTTTTCTACCGTTTCGTTTCATTTATTCATGTTGTGAGAACATGTATGACTTTCGCCCTCACTAATTCATTTCTCAAATGGGCGCGCTACATCTTTCTTTTGATGCAACGGCCGTTTTCATATCATTTTCACATTTTCAATAAATATCGCACGGAAGATGTGAGATTAGCCATCCTCGTATAATACCATTGATTTTACATGTAAAATAACAACAAAAAACGACAAAAGTGACCTCTCGTAGCGGAACAGTTCAAACTAACGAAACAAACACAATTGAACATGTCATTTTCATGTTCAGTGTTGGTTGTGTTGTTTGCTGTATAGCCAGAGAGAGAGAGGGAGATGTCTACAGCTTAGTGGCATTGAATGACATTCAACACCCATGAGATTAGCGCGCAAACACACCTAAATCATTCCGTCATTCGCCCATCTTACATAGATTCACATATTTCGTATGGCTTAATAAACTGAAGATGTGAGAATGATGTGAAAACGGTCGTTGCATCAAGAGCAAGATGTGGCATGTCCACTTGATTTGTATTAATGTTTAGATATCTGGAATACAAATGATTTTACAACGATAGCCTCAGAATCAGTTAAAAATGGATTCGAGCCAAAATGGAGTATTTTTCTTCACCCTTTGACAAACTCTTATGTGCACAAAATACAGTACATGCTCCACAATTGTATCACATGACTTTGAACCTACATAATTTCGATGAAAAAAAATTGAACTTCCGTCAAAATATCATTCATTTTTCTTCATCATATTTTTCAGTTTCTCAAGATAATCATTTGTTGAAAATTACGAACAAAGTTGGAATATTGTAAGTAATCATCGTACATATTTGTTTGAGCCATCAAAAGTTAAAACTTTTCAATAAATTATAAATAAATATCATTAAATTATCACAATAAGTGTTAGTTGTTTACTTTTTTCCTCTCAACGTTGGCTTCAAATACATATATGTTTTAAATGTGATGGCCTTAAGTATCGTTACGTACTATACGTAATGAAATCGTTTATTTATGAAAATGTATGAATAAACTCAATCCGACTGAAATGGGAGTCCGGCGGAAACTGGTCGGACACTTGTATTATCTTGTGAATAAACGCAATGTGTTGAGGTTATAACGAAAATTCGCAAAATGTTTGTTGGGCTCTGGTCCGATCAGCATTTGCTATTGCCAGAATATTCGATTAATTAGTTTGAAGAAAAATCTCCGATTGAAAGTTTAAAAAATAAAACACTTCAAAACAATGTTCGCAAATCAGCGGTAACAAATTTATCGTAGGTTTTAAGCTATGTTCAATGTTCACAGTTTAACGGAAAAATCATTGGTTGTGATGAGATTTTTTCTTCTAAAAAACTAATAGTGTCGTCGTGCATTATAAAAAATCTGTCTGATCAAACGCCGCACCGTGTGTTTGCTTTGCCAAAAGAAGGAATATGTGTATTGGAATTGGTTTTTGGTGGATAAAATGTCCATAGCGTTGAATAAATGCAGTTGCCATTGCACTATTGTTCAGTTGATAAAATTACGTAGGAGATGGAAACTCTTAAATTAGAAACATAACTATTCCTTAATTATCTTAATTGATACATTTGATATTTTCGCACGTGTTCTGCAGTGTCAATTCTTACATATATCTACTTTTTGGACACATTCGCTAGCTGTTTAAAATTTTTTTTTACCAGGATTCACTTCGCTTTGACAGATACAAATTTTATTCAAATTTTAAAAAGCGTTGTTTGTGTATTGAAAGCCATCTTAAAATGACTTTTAATAATACGTAGAGGTAAAGATGCGAAGAGGTCAAAAAGAGAAGAGTCTGCTGTGTGTGTGTGTGTGTGTGTGTGTATGTGTCGCACTTGAGGATATATCCGTACTAAAACGCTTTGTGAAATGTCTTTCGATGGTTTTCACTGTTCTTCTCACGTATGTTCTGTAAACTGTCACACGCTTTCTGCTCGCAACGCTTTTCTTAAAAACAAATTTTCAAAATATCATCACTTTTTGTCGTTGTCCATTTTGTTTTTATCGATTGAAGATGAAACCATACCTCCGCCATTCGTTGGGTACATTTTATCCAAATATTTAAGGGATTCATTCAAGAAATTCTGAGATGGCAAACAGAAAAAAAATTTGTTTTAAAATATTTCATGGTTTACATGGAGAAGAAAAAGTACTGGATGCTTACCTGAATTGCTGTAAGAGCAGCAACTATGGCTGGTGAGCCGAATCCATGTGATATTAATGAGAAATGTGTAAGATGCCGTTGTATTGATGGATCTAAAATGTGCTGTGGACGCGTATTGCATAGAGGTGATCTGTCCTGGTTCAGTAAATCCATCAGCTCTTTTGTAACCTGCATCCCAAATAGGATTTTTCATGTGAACGTTTCTATTGGATGAAAAATGGGATCATTGTCAACAATTCACTTACTTGTTTCGTATTCAAAAGGAGTTCTTTTCGTCGATATGTTTCTTGTGGTTCGGTATGTTGTCGCAGTAGGTATTCTGCAACTTGCCTTGATGGAAATTCGGTTTCACACACATAGCCGAAGTCCCGAGCCAAATGAATAGCTTCACCTAAATATACAGAACGAACACGGCCATCTCATCAATAACAATTATCAAGCGGACATTTGTTCTATGAGCACATACCTTCAACTAATGATGTAAGCAATGTCACATTTGCTGCTTTGCGACGTCCCGCAGGTAAATTTAACCCAATTTTCTCTAACTTCTCACGCAACAATCGACCACCGTTTTTGCTTTTTGCTCTGTATTTCATAAATGGAATTTAAAAATTAAAACAGTTGAAAACATTTAAAAAAATGGCACAATGCACAATCTACTACAATGCATACCGTCGCAAAACACCACCCAATAGCGATGCATTCAAACATTCCGGTGGAGACAGCCTTCTCTGAACTTCTGCTATTGTAACTTTGTACTTGGATGTACTCGACAGTAGGCTCAAACGACCAGGTACTGAACAAAATACATCGCTCGGCGACCCAACACTCAGATTATTTGGTTCTTTTCCACTTTTCATTGCTATTGAAAATTGATAATTGATTTTCATTAGTTAGCATAAATATTGCTCTATACAGAAACGATGCCAATCTACGCCTAAACAATCAGAAATTGATAAGATGATTTTTGAAAGTGCAATATTTTAATGGCGATTGCAAAATATAAATACATAAATAGATTGTGGCAAAATAAATTTAATATCATTCAGCGACAATCTACTTGGTTTTTAATTGCATATATGGAGTGGTCAGCATTTTCGTGAACATTATAAATTAAAATGAACGAAGCAATGAAGACGAAAAACAAGAAACACAAACTAACGATAGGAAACTCAAAAACATGGATACTACATTATATGCTGGTGTAAATTAGAGATAAAACAGAAAAATGGGATATTTACAATTCGTACAGATGTTCGAATGATACGCCCGATTTGCATCCGTAAAAACATCTACGTGGAAATATTGAAGAGGAAATAGCAACCAAAAATTATAGAAACAATTTTTGTTTAGGTAAATGAATTTATGTCATACATTTTTGTCATTTTATTTTGAATTAAAAAAAACACATGCGCGTCAGTAGTGTTGGATTTAATTTTTTTTTTCATAGAAGATTTATATATATATATAAATATATATATACGGGGTTTACAAGCGTTTATTTCGAAGATGGTCATATTTCTATTCGGAAATAACTGAGACAAGGACAGAAAATGGAACTCTCAATAGAAAGTGTCCTATATAGACATCGAATTAGTGTTTTTTTCCTTCATAGAATTGAAGTTGGATTCGTTCATTTTCTTGTTTTATAATAAGGTTTCGTATTGCCAATAAATATATTTATGTTCTCCAATTTCATTATTTGTTTGGTATGCGACATACGACGCCGAGTTATTATCGATTTTCAGTTTCTCACAATGGGAAGCAAAGGCCGAAAACTACGGGAAACACCATGTGATAAACACTGTAATTTGTGTTTATTTGGTAGTTTGACGCAATGGATCATTCGAATCACATGAAGGCAGTTTTAAGAGTGTTAATTATACACCGTTTGTGTGAAGCTATGTTATTGTTGATGTTTTTTTAGCCGTCTTTTTTTACAAATTGGGTATATTCTCGACATTGTGTCTTTGTTTGCGTTGTTATTTCTTTTCATTCAATGCGACAAATTGCTGTTGCAAGTTCCTATGCTTTGTGTGGTACGTACGCTATGCACAGACCCCACTGAGTCTATATGCATTTATATTAGATTTCAATCCAATGACAGTTAGGTACAACAAAACGCATACATCGAACGGGTGTTTCGTGTACCATGTCACATAGTCTATGTGCAAGCGACTAACATTACTCAAAATTCCACAATGTAATTTGCAAATTGAACACGCATCAGTTTGACAACGAGGGAAATTATATTCAGATTCGTACTGTAAAAATGATTGGTTTAACAAAAAAAAAACTTCAAACATTTGATTTCATACAAATTGATTTGTTTTAAATTGTAAATAAATCTAAAACGCACTTTCAACTGCGAATGGATTGGAATCTTCGTTAAATTCGAAATAAGGTTGGGTTAAAAGTGTTCCACGCATATACATTCAATATATATGTACATCTAAATTTTCGTTTTTACTAATATTCTTATGCAATCATATGATAGAGCGGACAAAAACTAAACATAGATTTGATATGTTTTTTTGTTGATAATAAATTTTCAACATCCATGAAAGGCAAAATAGCTGTCTTTTGGTCAAATATCGGATTTTCTTGTAGAAGACATTCCACTCATAATGTTCATGTTCATTTTGTCTACTCCAAATTTTCGAATTGAAATCCTCCCCCACTCTCTCTATACCTCTTTTCACTTTTCCAACGTACAACAAACAACGGAATTCCATTGTGCTTCTGTTTCTTACCAGTAAAGGTCCCTCCTTTACACTAAATTTTTTGTAAAATTCTATGCGCATTGGATGGACTATCGCTCCAAACCTACCCAGAAAAAAATTTACGTCCCCGTTTTTACGGGGGGAGTCTCCAGGGGGTTTGAAGTTAGGAAAATCGGCTTTTTCGGAGACTATAACTTCCAAACGGCTGGAAATTTCTAAGAAGTGTAATTGAAAAAGTTGTTGATCCCGAATTATTATATTATTATATTTATTAATATTAAACATTTTGTTGGACAAATCATCCCCAAAAAACCATCCCTCCAGGGTCAAATGTCACCCCAAAAATTGGAGATTTTTGAGTCACCCTATAGTTTGGGGTGATTTTTAAGGGATGAAGTTTTAAGCAAAGTTTTCAACTTTGACGAGATCTACAACTTTCCCAAAGACACTTCTAAGAAATTTCCAGCCGTTTGGAAGTTATAGTCTCCGAAAAAGCCGATTTTCCTAACTTCAAAATCCCCCCCCCCCTGGAGACTCGCCCGTAAAAACGGGGACGTAAATTTTTTCTGAGTAGGTTTGGAGCGATAGTCCATCGAATGCGCATAGGCTTTTACAAAAAAATTAGTGTAAACGGGGGACATTTACTGGTTAGTACAATGACAAAAGAAATGCCGATCGGCAAAGAAATATCGATTTAGCCCTTCAAAGGAGTAAAATCTGAAGTAGTTCCGCTCTATACATTTATTACGATGCAGGCGTACGCACAGAACGGCAACAGTGCATGGGCACGTATTTATGTGTTATTTAGCCATCTTGTAGTTAGCGATTGAGTACCGACTGCACGTTAACCACTTTTTAGAGGGAAAGTATTGAAAAATGAGAAAAATAAATGTATTTATCCACATTATGATTCCTCTTTACACCAATATTCTTAACTGTGCCAAAGAGTTATACTTTATCGCCAATGCTTGTTTGTATAGGGGAAGTGGGGGCGAATCGTGTTCCACTGGCGATATCTCGCGACTGACAGCAAAATATGTAAAAATGAAATTTATCGTAGATCTGTCATATTATCCCGCATATTTCGCTAGTTGAGACTCATAGTTTTCATTCACACACAAACGGGAAAATTGAAAAATGTGTTTTCGGCATATGCTGTTGTGACATTTTGTGACTTTAGGATTTCAAATAACTACAATAAATTTTCATTTTGCCCCAGTGAATGTAAGTGATTTTTACAGCTAACGTCGCGTAGAAATACAAAATTTTGGATATTTTATGATATCGCCTTTGGCAATCGAACATATACCTGGGGGCGAATCGTCCCGCACGAACTTTCAACCCCTAATTGGAGCTGAAGTAAAGGTTGTATCAAGTTGAAATATTCACAATATTTATTGGATTTTTTATGGTTTTCCCAAATATGAAATCAGTTTAGGGTGTTAAATGGGGATTTTACCCTCTTTTTGCCTTAAATTGAGATTGTTGGCGTTTTTTTCAATTTATTTCAAACTTTAATTGGATACATGATTTACTTACTTTTCAAAAGAGGTAGGTCTGACATAAATCCGGTATTTTCATCCATTCCGGTGTTTTGGCCATCATCGACAGCGCTTTGCAATGCCTGATGCAAAGCCAACGGATCATGTTCGTGTAACCGATTTGCTGGATTTCCAACACCAATCGAACCACTGTAGTCGCCACGACGATCTGTGTATGGGAATCCATGTGACAGCTGCGTCTAATCGAAATGAGCATGAACGAAACAGAACAAAAAGCATCAATACATTGTCCAAAGTGCAATTACCTGCTGCGGTTATGGTATAATATCAAAGAATTGAATATAGACGTGTGACAATATTATATATACATTCTTCTAGAACAAACGATGAAAAAAATTTTGCCCCCGAAGAAAAAAAACAGAAAAATACGCCCGTCTTGAATTCTTCAATGTCAATTTCTTGGTATGCTCATGTAAACATGTGTGGTTGACATTTTTTGAGATCCTGCATGAAGACCCCTTTTCGTATATTTTTTACACGTATGATTACCAGGGGGACTCTGTGTCATTTTTATCATTTTCAATTTGAAAAATCTCTACAAAAGAATATGCGATTACAAATGAAAGCCGAATTTCACCATCAAATATTTGAAATATCCCTATCTTCAGAGACGTACTTACGCATCAGATGTTGTAAAATATTACCGCTTCTGAACACGCATTAAAGAAAACATTCGGAGTTCGAATTTAAATTTACACTGCATAGCCCCGACTTTACGTACAAATTAATTTGATAATACTGTATTATATATTCAATGCTCATGTTCCCAGTATAGTCTCCATGGTTTTCATTGATTTTTCAGTTATGTTTATTAAAATAATAACTTTATTGGGCAATCTTTATTCACATCTAAAAAAAAAACTGGAATCACTTAATTTTTCTGCATTAGACAGCATGATACTACTGTGATATTTCGATACATTCCAATCGCTCTTCTTCATCAAAAATTCTGTGATCGATTTTATATCACTGAGGAATTTCAAGTATTTTTATTTCCAGACTTCGCGTAGCATTTTTGGAGAAATGAACGCGGGGTAAAAAAAAACTTGCACAAGACCCAGAACTGGCAAAAGCATCTTTCTGCACCCATTAAATTGTTGAATAAACGTCATTGATTATTATTGGCGAAAATAAAATAGACGTTGTATTGTATTTTAATTTATACTTATTGACTCTAGGAATGTACCGAACAATTTAAATTTGTATTCTCTATCTGTACTTCGTGGAATACAATTTATTCGATCTATTTGGGATATTAAATTTTCTTGAATTTTTTTTAATAATGAATATTCAATATAAGTAAGTGTATACAAAATGGTTGGTGTATCAGCGAAATATAAGGAAATGAAACGATGTCACAATTGTTTTCGCGTGTGTACGATGTGATTCAAAAATAAACAATTAAAGATAAAATGTGAGCATCGATCAACTCAAAGTACAAAATGTTGACGATGAGGATAAATTGAATAATACGAAAAGCAAAATCATTACAAAACGCGACGTGCCAGCTAAATGCACGCGGCAAAGACTAATATAAGAAGCAAACTGTTCACTGAGCTTCATTATTGAAATAAACAGAGAAGCTGTAGTCTATGTTCAGAAATCAACAAGATACACCGTTCACCTTTTTTCTCACTCCAACCATATCAGGATATATATAACCAGGATGCAAATCGTTTGAACACGAAAAACCGGCACATTCTCCATAATACATTCATAATAATAAAATTTTATTTGAATTTAAAATACTGAAATGAATATGACCATAAAACTGCGCGAACTCAGATACGCAGACAGGATTTATGTGGACCATTTCAGTGTGAAAATGGATGCATTTCTCTCTTAAGATCTGGTTCTATGATGTCGTTGGTCGCGTCTTGCCCCATTTCAAATCAATATCATATGTCTGCAGCAGTTCGATGCTTTACGAGTTTTGTTGCTGGATATTCCAATTCCCTGACCAGTTCAACGTCTCAAATGCAATTGGAAGCGCATTGTATCAGTCTACGCACAACACTTTGTACGCTTTATCATCATCAGATGATGTGGTGATTACTTACAATTTATGGGTCAATTTATTGAGTTTAATTGGCAAATGAATGATCGGCAAGTTTGCTGACTTATGCCCATTCTCATTGATTGCAAAACGATTTAAGATTTGTCGACACAACAAAAAAGTCTTGTTAGAATTTCAATCGCCATGACAAACACATCGGCTTGATTTTGATTTAACATTGAAATAGAAATCCTTCAGTGTACAAATGTATATATTTCAATTTTCACTCACCACATGACCTTGGAGCTCTGCCTCACGGTGTGTTCGATGGATCCCCAATTGCTCTTGTGTCGGTCGCAATCCAGTCAACTGATTATAATGCTGATACTTGTTGAAAATGTGCAAAAGTATAAAATCAACAAATATTCTTGCTTGATTTTCCCTTGAATCAATCTAACTCACCACATGGCCATATGGATCAGCAGCGCCTAAATATTCTATACCATGTGTTCCATGGTTTTGCTGTTGCGGAGGACTCTGTGTTGTGTGATGGAATGGTGGTGGAAAATATGGTGGCTGAAAATCCGATTGAAGCGCTGGATGATGCATGTCTGTAATCAATTGGTTTTTCAATTGTACGTATTGTTATTGAGAGATAGTGAGAGAATTTATTTAAAAGAAAAAGGCTACGAATGAAATATGTTTCGATAAACGTAATAAATATAATAGCGTGGAAAAACAAGATACATATCAATTTGGAGAAAAAGTTTGACCATTTTTGCGCGTGCAAAGGCGTTATATAGAAATGGCATCAATTTTGCTCTCAAATAATTTTGGAGAAACAATCTTCAATGTAAAGGTGAGATGGAACATTTGTGCTCTCCAGTGTTGGGTAATGTTAACAATTTCTGTATCTAGATAAGATGAGATTCGTTTTTTTTTCGAAAAAATTTATCTAGATAAGATGCCGCATCTTATCTAAAAAAAGTGCGAAGATAAGATACTATCTTTAAAGTATCTAGATATTTTTAAAGATATTTTTTCATGACAAAAATTGTTTTCTACTGAAAATTTTCATATTAAAATATTTTTTCGTTTTCGGTTGCTCTCACATACATGGCATCACTGGTGCTCTCACATACGTTTTTTGTCAGTTTAGTTCTCGGAGAAAACTATATCGGTTTTGCTTGCATCGCATTTACGGAAATATATTTCATTCGTAACGTTTTTGAAATCAGAATTTGGATGTTAGTTCCCATGCAAGACTAGTTGTATTCTTGATATAAATGAATCGCTAGCAAGTAGATTCACAACAAAAACAACTATCCAATCATGTAAGAAATGTCGAATGAGAAAAAAAAAACAACTTACCGATGGATGGAGATGGTCCATGTGTGTTTGCATGTGCACCGCTGCTTCCATTGCCACCGCTATGACTTGTTGCTACTGTGCGACCACTGTTTCCATGGCCAGTATGAGTATTGTAAACTGGACTGGCACTTGACAAACCGATTCCACTATGACTCGTCAAACGCTCCTATTAGTTTTGTTTGATAAATTGTAATTTTCAATTTCATTCGGAACTCAACAACTTTTTATATTATTCAGAAAACCAAAAAATCTACAATTTTTGCTAGTTTGCCACTTGATACTAAACATTTATTATGAATATTCTTTGAAATGTTTTTCTTCAATCACAATGCCCAATCCGAATTGTAGACATTTCTTTCTCTTAATAACACCAATTTTACCTGTGCTTCTATCACTGAAGACATATCCACGTACGCTAATGCCATAGTTAGATATTTAGCGATTTCGTAACAACTATGAACAAATGAATGCAATTCGCCAACAATTATCGTACTTATTACTTGATAGACAACAAATAATTTGGGACTTGATGAAAGTCTGAATATTTAATTTCATTTTTTTTAAATATCACAATTGCAAACAGGAGAGTCTTTGTATAAGATAAATATTGTTTGAATTTAAATACACATGGATCGAACATATGAATCATCTCTTTTGGATGGTTTTTTCTTTGCTGTTGTTGTGTATTGCTATTCAAATTATTTCCACATTTGATTGAATCACATCGACCAAAGGTCTTTCACTCAAAACGGTGCTGATCACTTCGAATAATAAGATGTACAGAGTCTATGTTTGCTTTATCAAATACAAAAAATATTCACCGGAATGTCTTTTCTAACAAAAATCAAACTGAACGAACAAATCGAAATATTGGCACAATATATGCTCATAAGGCAGACGCTCATCGAAAATGTTAGGCATTCTCGGTTCTTCTCTTTTTTTTCATAACGCGTCAAATGTTGAACATAAACTAAACGTGTTGAACCATTTGGGTACACAGTAGCCGGGTCTGTTGTGCTGGAAGATTTGCAAAAGAGTGAGAGAGACTCCGTGCTGCTGGAATAATGTGAGAAGAAGTAGCATACGCATGGTAGTATAAGCATAGTCAGAATACACATATACATATAAGCACCATGTCACCACCTTCCACTCGACGGGTTTAAAGTGTGGTCCGTGGTAAAGCCGTGTTGAAAAGATTTCAGCATCAAACGCAATAACAACGATACGTATTGAGACGATCTGTACCAAAAATACTGTTGATTTTTTCGAATTTTCATTCAATAAAGTTATAGTATTATTTGGTGAACGATACAATTCATGTTAATGTATAATTTTTTACAAGCAAATGACTCCAATATTTTAACTCAATCTAATGATAATTTTTAATGGTGCAATTTTAAAGCAGTAAATAATTGAACTGAATCAAATGCGCCCGACCATCACTTCATTGGATATGTTTATTATGAATATTTGTTTCAGTGTTGAGAGACAGTTTCCGTTTCAATGAAGAATTAAAGTAATCTTTGCAGTGGTACGGTTCGGAATCATATTATCCAAACTTTCTTAAATCATAAATAAAAATACATATGTTATTATGGGCTCGTAAGTTGTAATTATCACATTCGAATTGATGGCGCAAAATAAGTGATTGTAATAAATGGCAAGTAAACAAGTTGTAATTCCAGTTTTGTTTTGTTTCTTCCATATTTTTCTTCTTGTCTTGAAACAAAACTAACACTGGAATATATTATTATTGTCCATTTGATCACAAATCGAAAAGCTTCGCGACTCTGTTGATGATTCCAAATTAAACTAGATTCGCGTACAAGAAATGCACAGAAACAACGGTAACATTTGAGTTTTTCTCTTAATTGGATGTAAAATTAAAAAGAGATTTGGGTAGAATGCACTAGTACCGTATTTGCTCGAATTTTCAATTGCATAAAAACGTCAAAGACAATTATGCGTAATTATTTGCATCAAAGTAACGGTTAATATTTTTTTTAATTGTTCTGGTTGACACGATCTACGCGATAGATGATGGGTCTAATGTGCACTATTTTTTTCTTCTTCAACTTTGCACGAATCAGTTGCTCAACTCAAGCAGTAAATAAAATTATTCAATTTCCTCAATATTCAATCGTACAATAGCATGAAAACGTACTATGAGTAGATTGTCTGGTAGTCTGGTTGAAAGTGGAGAAAACTTTAATGAAGGACCCAACGTGTTTGAACAACTTTTGCATAGTCGCAGAGTGAGAACACATTTGCGCTCTTCTGCGTTTGCATGCGATGTTCACACAGTTCATAACAACTGATCAGCACATATCAATAGCTTCACTTAGATACTCCTTTCTTTTGACACACTTCAATGGAGATTTTAAAACGAAATTAAATCAATTAAATATATATATGGGTGAGATTGAGTATAGAGTGTGTTTTTTCTTTGATTTATATTGTGGAAAAGACGTAAATGTTTTCTGACGATTCGGTGTTAGTTGAAGAAGAGCATGTTTGCATGCCCCGTGCTGTTGCGACTATTCAGCAAAACTGATTGAGAATGATGGTTTGGTTTTGACAAAGTTGTAGAACTCAGGATACTCTATGAATTTGCTGCATACAGTTATCTCTTACTACGACAACTCGAAAAAACCAATTACTTTCTTCCTTCATAATAAAGTCCATGAAACATGCACTGCTTACAATCTCACCCATAGATATTATACAGCCAATTTCAATGAATCTGTCATTAATCGGTCTGCGATGCTTGAGATGGAATGAAAAGAAAGCGTGTGAGAAATTCATGTCGCAAGATATTCACACAATTATTTCAAACCGTACACTTGTCGAATATTATATTTCATAGATTCGATCTTTAATTAATATAGCAAATTATTACGAGCACATTTTCGGCACTACAGTCATTGCTTTTCAAGTTATATTCATCAATGCAAAGATTATTTCTTTCATTTGATCAATCGATCGATCAGGCATATATGTCGATATAGTGATATGATTGTGTTAGTTTTAATCTTCTTCCATTGTTTTTTTTTTTCATTCGGACATTTTTGCTGCTTAATCCGATTGAAAAAGAATAGGCAAATAGTTGACACCGGACTGTTGAAAATAGAGTACTTAATATATTTTGATCGTTAGTTTGCCTCATTCAACTTTTGTTTTGTACGTTGGATATTTCTAAATTGTTGAACAAACATTTCGAAGCGAATGAATCATTTTGATACCTTGGCTATAGTCGCAATGTAAAAACGTATCCATAAATATTGCTTTGACAGTAGCAAGTAGCACTGTTTTTTTAACAACTGAAGATTGATTCAGGCTTTTTAATGCTACAAATAATTTACTTTGTTCTTGCCCAATAGTCTCACCAAAAGAAAAACTCGATCAAACACATTACTAGCGAAGATGAAGCGAAAAACATCTTCGTCATCGTTTTACATGCATTCGATAAATTTTTATTTGAATAACAAATAAGCATTTCGATGATGAAGAGAGCAAAAAACTCATTAAACCATGTTTGTAATGGAGCATACGTATGTGTCTAGTGTATGAAGGGGAACGCATTCTAAACATGAGTTTGCATTTGAGAACCGATATGACTATTCCATCGTATCTCTCCCTCTCTCTCTCTCTCTCGCAATGTGATTACGATCGACAGATAGGGAGAAATCGATCCATTTCTTTTTTCTATACGAAACGGTTAGTAAAAATTCTTCTTCAGCAATCGTGACGCAAAAATAGCTATAAACGAGCGAATGTTTGACGCGACATACCACTGATCATAAAAAGAGCCCATTGCAAACACATTTTGATGACTGTTGAATGATTTTGAAAACATCGATTGAACTCATTTCACTGCGATCATAAATCGTGTGTGTCTTTCATATGTTCTCTTCGCCGCCACCAAAGAGATTGAAATGGTTTAAAACAATTTTGTGTAATATTCGTATTGGTTATGTTCTCGCTGTTCTTTTGACCAACGATCGCCAGCACGTTTCTCCAATGCGTCCATACATCAATTACAATTTTACTCATCAGCACATGTTGTTGTTCAGTTATTCGCCTTTACGCTGGTACGTCATCTTTGCATATTGGCTGAATGACAATATACATGAGTCGCTTCAATGATCACTCATTTATCGGTATCGCCATAAAAAAATTTCATTACCCACTTGTTTTTCTGCACTTTTCCATTCGTACAATAAAACCGAAAGTCATATTTTACAAGATTTTCTGTATTATTGCTTCTTGTTGTTAATTATTTTTTTGTGAGTTTAAAAAAGGCTTTTGTTTCCTTGAAAATAATCATTTGGTCTTGACAATAATTTACAATTGCAAAGTATGTGAGGATCTTCTTCCGATTGTATTCTTATTACATTCCTGTTGAAAAATTACCATTGCCATTGCGTAGCGCAAAAAAGAAAAGGTGAAAATACTATCTTTCGCATAATCAGAGATTTCAACATGGCCAACAATTGAAAAGCACACGAAATATAATCAATTTCATAGTTGACTTATGTCCCGCCGCGAATTCATCTGTTTTTATGCAATTAAATAATTATATTAGTTCTACGATTCAGCCCATGTAATTAATAGCGGTTTACTTTTTGTGTACAATAGAAAATAAATGTGTTTTGCCAACCACTAACATTTTTAAAGTGTATCTACGAGCAAACAACAATAAATGGATATCACGGAAGCTTGATCATATTCATCGCCACATTTGTGTGCGTGTATGAGTGTTATAATGTATGTCAAAAATTGTAAAGTGCACAAAAGTTTCATTTTCATTTGTTTAATAATTTATATTTATCACGCGTAAACCAAATCAAATAACAATGCCACCTGCAGATTTGATTTGCAGCAACTTGAGAATGACAGAAATGATAAATGTCTTTGTTGGTCTTTTCTTTATTGACTATTTCTTCACCATCATCATCATCATCATCTATGCGTGACCTCTTTATCTATGGATTTCAATCTCCAATAGAATTTGGTTAATAAATCAGTTGTGAGTATGTGTATGCGTACATACAACAGTGTATTGAATGTGTGATATGTACCATTTGTTATATTGATATGCAGTGGAACGCATATCTCTGTGTACCTCAGACAAAAGATGAAAATAAACGAACTGTCGAATAAGTC